ATCTTTTCCAACCTTAAAGTTTTCTACGCTTCTAAGGTTTGTACATGCATTTATGTACCTAGACCATGAGCATCACATGCAGTAGTTAGAAAAGTGGAAAGAAGTTCCTGTGTGTAGCACAATAGAAAATGATTCATTCCTCAGGGGAATTGAATGAGGGAGAAGAGGAAAACAATTACAATAAAAAAGCAAAGCAAGGCCTGAGGTGCTAATAAACTCTAGCCTTTCTAAAACGAGAAGCAGATTTAGTTAAGCAACATGCAAAAGAGTGCCTGTGTCACCAGAGTGTGCCAGGCACATCAGGATGGGGAGCCATTTGAATACATTTCAAGAGAGAGCATTGAGGAAAAAATACAATGAACAGCAAACCAAATTAAAAACAACAACAGGATATGTCCTTTAAATGACTCATCCAGCCTCAGCTGATGCCGAAGTACAGTATGTGCAGAGATGGTAGACTTGCACTGAGAGGCATATTTTCCTCAAGCACTTTCTTTTCCTAGCCATTGCCTGAAAGCTACAGTCAGTGCTTGGAACATCTGTGTTTATTTTGCATGACAAACTTGTTCCTCGGCTTTGACAAAATGCGTGCTGATTTGGGACTTGGGGTTTGCAGTTCTTCCATGGGGCTGTGCTGAAGCACATGCGGCTGGCCATGGCATTGGTATATAATACATATTACATGATTTCATACATATTTAATTACAAATGTGCTATATTTTTAATCTTTATAGCTTTAATGTGTGCAAGTGGTTTTAATAATTGGTGCTGTAGGATAGTAACTTCCCAGAATTACCCTGCAAAATTGCTGTGTTTTCAGCCTTCCCTTGTGCAGGTTGTAAATTATAAAACTTGGGTAGTAATAAACTTGGCACCCACTCCTTGCTCTTTAGAGATGCCAACCTGTTACAATAATAGAAAGATACATGCTGGCAAAAAATCCTGTCCAAAGTCTTCATCATCTTGTTTGTACATCCCTCATGGGGAATTGAGAGGTCAGAGGAATCCAACTCCTGACCTGGAGGAGGCACTGGCACTGCTGCACTGTTGCTTCAGGGCAAGGAAGCTGGTGAAGGGTCTGGAACGTAAGTCTTAAGGGGAGCATCTGAGGGAACAGGGACTGTTCAGTCTGGGGAAGAGGATGATCAGGGGAGACCTCACTGCTCACTACAACCCCTGAAAGGAGGTTATAGTGAGGTAGGTGTCAGTCTCTTCTCTCAGGTAAAGCAATAGAATGAGAGGTAATGTCCTTATGTTGTGCCAGGGGAGGTTCAGGTTGGATATAGGAAACATTTCCATTCAGGAAGAGCAGTGAGGCGCTGGTACAGGCTGTCCAGAGAGCTGGTGGACTCACTGTTGCTGGAGGTGTGGCACTGAGGGAAATGGTTAGTGGGAATGGTGGAGATGGGTTGGTGGTTGGACTTGTGATCTTAGAGGTCTTTTCCAACCTTAATGATTTATGATTCTACTTGTTGTGGTAACAGCCACATGATGGTGCCCCTTGGGCAGTCTCAGACATCTGGCACAGCTTGTTGGCGAGTATAGGGAGCAAAATAACTTAGAAGCAAGCAAGCATAGGGCGTAGGGGATTGTATGAACCTCTCCTTTCCTCTGGGACATTCTTCTGCTTCCTTCCTGCTCAGAGCAGCTAAAATGGCAAGAAATTAGGCTTATGTTGTTCAAATCCCTCCAAATAGTACTATAGGGCAGTGCTATTTTGGTCCTCTGGAAGTGGTCGCTGGGTCTGACTTCCCAGCATTGGCACTTCATTCTGCAGCCCAAGAGTAGATCTAGAAATGTGCAGAATCCCATTCTGCTGGCTAAATTCTTGGAGATCTATGCTCTCATAGCACAAGCAAATGCTGTAAGCAAGCCTGAATCAAACAGCTCTTTTTAAGAATCAAATAAATAAAAAGAAACAACTCAAAACTGTATGAAGGCATTCTGAAGAAATTCTGTTTCGGTTGCTACTTATTTGCCATTTCCCAGTTGTGTTGGTTCTGGATGCACCCCGGTAGCACAGTGACATTTGCTTTGCCTAGTGTCCCCCAGCTTGCATTCAGGCCATGAAGCTGGAGTCTCTCCTCGGTTTCCTGGTTGGGACAGTGTCATGTGTTCCTGGTTTGCCTTGCACTTGCTGGTGTCTCTGGGGTAAAAATGCAGCATGACTTTCCATCATTATCCTGCATATTTTGGATGTTTTTACGTGACAGTGCTAATCAAGAGGGATCTAGACAAACAAACATGCCTATAAAAATTGATTCTTTCTGGACTGTGGGTTCTGTGCCACACAGTAAATCTGCATTTAGCTCTTTGTCATGTCACAATCAATTCAAAAGACAGGATTTTTTTATTTTTTTTAAGTGGCAGCTACTCAGTTTAATGAGGAAAACCTAAAGGTTAACTAAAACACCCCTTCTGCTTGTGTGACACAATGCCTGTGGTGCATTTGTAACAAAGCACAAATCAGTTTTCTCCCATTAAGCACCCATGTAGGGCTGATGTTTGCCGGCTTTCATTTAGGGCTGAGTTATGAAGGTTACTGAGTGCTCTAGCAGTCAGGCCTTATTAAAATGTGTAATAAACTGAGAGAAGACACCATCAGTATTAAACTTTGCTGGCTAGTGTTCAGGTTTGCCCTTCTAGGACTTGATAGCTCTATACTCTAAATACAACAGATCCCAGAATGGGAAACAGCAGCTATGTGTAGGCCACAGGTATGTGGCCTGTGGAATCGAATGAGAAGGATCTGATATTCCACCTGTTAATGCAAGAATTCTAGATTTCATCAAATTGAAAAAAAAAAAAAAAAAAAAAAAAAGAAAAATAATCAGGATTTTGCAGATTGAATAATGTATTCATGGGGGGATGGAAATGTTTCAAATGCTTAAATACGAGCTGAATGAACCATAGAATCATTAAGACTGGAAAAGACTTGTAAGATCACCAAGTCTGACCATCACCCCATCACCAACATGCCCACTTAACTGTGTCCCTTATTTCCACATCTCCACTATTCTTGAAAATCTTCAGGGATGCTGACTCCACCAGTGAATGGTGGCAGAATTCTTGTCTTTAGGAAGATCTTTCTGTCCCTAGAGCCCAAAAGCATGTTTGCAGCAGCCCAGATTACAGCAGCTATCTGAGGTCTCTCCATTCTGCTCTCTTTCTGCTATAGTCTGCTCTTTAGCCATTGGGCAATCCCATTACCTTGCCAAAGCAGAGATGTGGAGCTGTTTGGTAGTGTTTATGACCATTTTAACCACAGCCCACAGTGCTCACATACCTCATTCAGTGGAGGTGTCAGATGGAGTGGCTCAACTCCTGACAAATAAATTCAGGCTCACCATGTGCTTGAACACTCGTGAGATCAACTCTGGGGACTGAATCCCAGTACAGCAGCTCAAAGAGCCCACTGCCACCTCCAAAGGCTTCCAAGCAGGAAGTTTCCTTGCAGATTTGTGGTGTTTATACGCTAAGTCCTTGTTGCAGAAACTCTTCAGCTTCCAGAGAAACACTTTAAGGGCGATAAACAAACTCTGGTTATCCCTGGAGACAGTGGCAGGAAAATGGCCTAAGGTAACAATCGCTCCTTTGATTGTGCATATTGCCTTTAGCTTCCACCTCCTGGCAATATTTCGCTCTCTCTGAATCTCTTCTTACCCTTGGGCAATATTTAGTTGCTACAGTCCTTTGAGGCCAGTCAATATATGTGAAATATGTTGTTCCAGATACCTTGAAGAGTTTATTGGAAGGCTATTCAGTGAAGTTTTGTGTCCTTGGTTTTGGTGGGATAGAAAACAAGGGCAAGGGAGCCCTCTTCTTTTGAAAGGAATGTTTTCAGATCCAGAGTTCGAGGATTTCACTTTAGCAGTCTCTCCCCATCTTTTCCAAGTTTGTGCCTCTGCTTTGAGATGATTAGATATCCGAGAACTGGAGAAGCAATCCTTATAAAGTCTTAGGTTGGCAGAAGATTCCCACATGCATTTCATTACAAGTGAATTTTAGGTAATTAAAATGATAGCAACCAACTTTAAAAAAATAAATAAAAATAATTATATATTTTTTTTAATTACTAGTACTACATCTCTTCTTGCCTGGAATCAAATTTTGTGTCAGTCAGTGATATTTTAAGCTTGATTATAGTTAAACAATTAGAAATTCATCACTGTAGCAAGACCTAAAGAGACAATAACAAAATTATAGTGATTTAAATTTCACCACAAAATACAGAAAAACAGGTGAAGGTATTAACAAATCTCTCTCTCTCTAATTCCCAAGGTAACACTTTATGTGAATCATTTTCAGTCATTAATTCTCATGAGCTTTTAAATGCCAACATTAGCTGTGTGCGTGATGTTAACCTAAATTCCCATGCTACTATTGCTGATTCAAGATTTAGAAACAAAACAAATGTCTTCTTAGAATCAAATCCTGCAGTTTGAAAGAGAGGAAAAAAACTAGTTTGAGAGGAAAGCTCAGATAATAAGTGTCAGCAGCCTTTCTGTTTCTCAGACAACTGTATTGTAACTCACTGTGGTCATTCAGCTTTACCCAGACCTTGGTTCCTTCTGAGAGAAAGAGGGAAAATTGCTAATGATTTTTTTGCTATTGAAAGCTCTCTTAATTTTGAGTTACTGTAAAGCAACCTAGTTTCCAGGTAACTTAAAAGAGTACCTGTCCACTGCCTGTCTCTATTAAGTTTACTGATGAATGCAACCAATAGTTATCTTCATTATTTGACAGAGTGCTTCAGCAAATGTTGAACTTAGATTCTTGAACTCGAATGTATGTTGAAATGTTTTGTAGAATGTGAATGTTAAGGTGAAAGAGAGGTTAAGGTGAAAGAGACGAACATTGGAAATAAAGTTTTCATACTGTCCCCAAAGGCTTCAAATGGACAAGGTTAAAAGACAACTGTGGAATATTCTTGATTACAAAATGTTAAAACATTTTTCTGTGGCATGATTCAAACCTGCACATCTCTTTTTCTATTACAGTGCCTCATACAGCAGGTTTCTTCTCGTCATTGGATGCTGCTGTACAACTGTATCTTTAGCAGCCCTGTACATCTGTGGATCAAATGTATGATCATGAGGCAAAAGAAGAGATGAAGTCTATAAGGTAAGGGATATTCAAATCTTACTTAGCAGAGATCTCTGTGTGGTATGAAAAGTTAGTTAGTAAAAATGCCTGTAACTCTGAATAAAGTATCACAAAGAGATGTAAATATTATGATTCCCATTGGCATGCTGTGAAATCCGTGTTTTTCTGTGACTGGAGCATATGATTCTTTTTTAAGCAGCATCTGATTGAGAGGAAATCAAGGTTAGTGAGAAGGGAGTTTTTAGACAATAAGTAAGAAATAGAAAGGGGCTGGTTTTTTTGGCATTTTCCCCCCTGCTTCTTCATGTAATTTTGGTGTTATAGTTCTGTTTGGAGACCCGAATTTTCATTTTCATTTGTGTCTATTTCTAATTATGAAGCATGGTAACTCATTATGAGTACTTAAAATGTATGTTTTTGAATGAGGGTGCCCAGTTTGTGTGGTTTTATTTTAAGGTACTTGTGGGCAAAAAGTTTCATTCGGGAGTGTGGTTTGGACTGCATAACTTCATAAAGATTTAATTAGCATTCCTCCTTTGGAACATGCACACTCGGTGCTAAGATGAAGAAGGTATTTCTGCAGCAGTGTAGTGCTCAGAGCACCGCTGTGCCATGCGGTGCCTGCAAACCAAGAACTGCTTACAGTGAATGCTTTGAAGGAGTTTTCCTCAGTAATTAGTCATTCTATCTGAAACAAGATAAGATTTTCAGATTTCTATCTGAAATAAGATTATCATTTGTTTCATTGAAATTTAAAATCCTACTGTGATTCTGTTTGAGAGGAGAGAATGGGTTCAATAGTCCTCATTTCCAGTGTTCAGGTGTTCACTTTACAATTTGTTCTGTGTTTGCAGACTAAGTGTATTAATCTTGATAAAGAGCCCCACTGCTGAGTTTTTCCTTGCTTCCCTGAGACGAGTTACAGTGTCTGTTTTAACCGGTACGAACTGCTTCTGAAACTGGGAGCATTTGATTTTATGATCCTGTCACTGCCAGGTTTTGGAGAGCAATTGATTCTGGGCACAAATGTGTGGATGTGTGGGAGAGGGAAAGAGAGGGAGAGAGATCCACCGCAGGAGAACACAGGCCATCAAACAGCAGAAGCACGGCAGGGGAAACTATAGAGTCCAATGGCAGAGAGTTGTTTGTTTTTAGCCTTGTGTTTCTCTTTTACTTGCACAAAAATCATAAGACATAGTTTAAAAGGTTTAATTATATGTGGTGCCAGTCCTGCATAACCAAATGATATAACCATAACACAAAAATTGGTTGTGATGTGAGTCTTGCATCTGACACTAAGAAACTACAAAGTGTTCTTAGAAAACAAAACGGTGCTAGTTTGATAGGATTCAAATTAGTTAACTGTTTCCAGTTAGCAGAAATGTAACCAAGTATTATTGTGACAGAAAGGAATTCAGTAGCAATGCAGCCACCTCTTTGACGTAGATAGCTCTTATTCTAATAGCCGTTGCTTTATCAAGAAATGTAAAGTTATATATATTTTTTATTGATATTTAAGAATAAATTCTTATAACATCACATCTATAAAAGGTTCATCACAGACCCAAATACCTCCCTAACCTTTTAAGCTTCTACAGTAAAAACTGTCGTCTTTATTTATATAAGTTTGGGAAAGATACAAATGTAATCATAACCCCCAAGGCAAAATTTTATGGCAGTTTTCAGAACTCCTCTCTATAAAAACTACTCAAACCTACAGGCATAAAAGTTCTCAATAAAATTTGTTTAGATGGTAGTCATAAACCCCCGTCTCTTCCCCCTGGCTGTGACACTGCAGGTGTCCCACTGCCTCACAATGTGGGCTGGGCAGCCATCTCGACCTGCTTAGAGCTGGAGCAGACCTCAGCCCAGCCCCTTGGGCCACTGATTGCCAGATCCTCACCAAACCCTCACCAGCGGCACTCCTATAAGTGAGGCAGGTTGGCATGCCTAAAAGCTTTAAACTGAAAATACTTCCTTAATTGGGCAGGTTCTGCCTAGTGGCCTTTTGAGACATTGATGTCACCTATCTAGACTTCAGTAAGGTCTTTGATGTGGTACCCTACAACATCCTTCCCTCCAATTTGGAAATATATGGATTAAATGGGTGGACTGTTTGATGGATGAGGAACTGATTGCAAGATGAAACCCAGAAAGTAGTGATCAATGGCTCAGTGTCAGGATGGAGATCAGTAATGAGTGGTGTCCCTCAGGGGTCAATACTGGACTAATGCTCTTTAATATCTTCATCCATGACATTGATAGTGGGATTGAGTGCATCCTCAGCAAGTTTGCAAAAGACTCCAAGCTGTAGGAGGCAGTCAACATGCCTAAGGGATGGGATGCCATCCAGAGATACTCAGACTGGCTTGAGCAATGGGCCCAAGTGAACCTCATGAGGTTCAACAAATCCAAGTCGTGGCAACCCCCAACTATCAGTACAAGCTTAGAGATATAAGAATAGAGCACAGACCTGCTGAAAAGAACTTGGTGGTACTGGCGGATGGCAGCTTGTTCATGAGCCAGCAATAAAGCACTGGCACAAGCTGTCTAGAGATGCAATGGATATAGAGATGCGTCCCTGGAGATATTCAGGATCAGTCTGGATGGGGCTCTGAGTACACTGATGTTGCTGTTGGTGTCCCTGTTCATTGCAGGTGAGTTGGACCAGGTGCCCTCTAAAGGTCCCTTCCAATTCAAATAATTCTGTGATTCTGTGAAATGGATCACTCACGGTAATGACTTGTGGATGCTTGTGATTAGATGGTAGCATAAAATGGACTCCATTAAGCCACTCATACAGCAATCAGTTTACTTTCCCAAAGTCTCAACTCACCTTTCTGACTCACCCAACACTGTCAGACTGGGGATAAAAAAAAATAAAAAATCGCTGGGTTTGGAAAGAATCGCACTGAAAGTTGAAATGGACTGGTGTTTTTTCTGGATGCAGTACAGTATTCCAAATGTGCAGTGGTGTAAAGCATGCAAACTCATCTTTGTTGGGTTTACTTTTCTATGTAAAACACTCATAATTTACATTTACCTTAAGGACTGGTGGCACTTCTGATTTTACTTTGGTGAAATATGAATGCATGCATTCAGCGCCGTTTTAAGCTAATTAAAGAATCATTTCAGTATGTGCTTCTTAGACGCAGGCATAACGTGACAGCAGCACGTAGAAAGTTCTTTCTTTACATTTCACTTGAGAAAATAAATATATGAATGTATAAAGTGAAGTTGTGCTGGATTGGAGGAAGGCAGGCTGTCTGTGTTCTTGAAATGAAGTGCAGGAGTAAATCTCTGCAGATTGGGGCTTTAGCGGATTCCTGGCAACTAAATGCTCACACTTTATCAGCCTAGATTAATTTGCTTTTACCATTCAGCATGGATTTAACCCTGATAACTCACTCCGGATGGTATCTGATGAAAGGCCTGAGTCTTTTCTTTCTGTCTCCAATTAGAAGTATAAATGGGAATGAGTTCTACTGCTTACAAAAATGAAACTAGAAGCAATTCGTAGATTTGTGTGATTTTTGGTTTGTTTTCTTCTGTGAAATAAGTCCTAGAAAGTTTTCTTTGCAGTCTCAAAGCACTCTTGAGGGATCCTAACAAGCAGGAACAACTTAGTTGAAAACTGCTGATGTGGAAGTATATTTTCTAAGTTGATGGTACTAGAATATCCTAAAGTCCATTCCTCCATTGACAGCAGCAAGACTGGAAGTCACGCCAGATGCTTGGGCTTGGTGGCCCAAGTCCTGCCTTCAAGGGATGTAGCCTTAATTCTCACACCCAAGCATCTGCCATGCTGCTCTGTGGCTGTGAAGTGGCTGCTCTACACTCAGCTACTGGGCTTTGTGGAAATGGCAAAGGAATATTCTGTTCCTGGTTTGCCTCATATGGAGAGTTCACAGCTCACATCTGCTGAAAAACTTTCTGATGCTCCTTTCCTCTTAATTTAATTTCCCACTGCTGAAAGCCCCTTGCAGAAACTCAGAAGCAAGCTCAGGGCACTTCTGTCCCTGTCCACAGAGGCAACTGGAGAAATCTGGATGCCCAGCAGTTGCCAAGCACATGTATAATAAAAGATATGATTCATTAGATGACTTTTTTTTCCTGTTTATCTTAAAATAGACTTAATTACAATTCTGCCTTCCCATTTGTGTCTTATGTAGGAAATTGGCTCTCAGGGTATTAACAAGCCAGCTGTTAGCGCTTCTTTAATATTTCCCTGTCTTCTGCTCCATTAGAGAGGCCTGCATACTTAGTACCTGCTAGGTTTGTTAATCATTAGTTAACTCTGCTTTATGGATATTGACTAGCAAGGTAACTTCTCCCAAGTGCTTATCATTATTTGTCATTTGTAGAGCTATGGTGTCTTTTAAGTGCCTCAGTTAAAAGCTATATTTATAGAATCATAGAACCATTAAGGTTAGAAAAGACTACAAAGGTCATCTAGTCCAACTGTCAACCCAAGTCTACCATGCTCACTAAAACGTCCCTCAGTGCCACATCTACCCTTTTCTTAAAAACCTCCTGAATTTAAAGCCTCCAGAATTTAAGAGCAAAGTTTAGAGATTTCTATCAAAGAAATCTATTTTCCATCAAGGAAAGCTAGTTTCTCCTAAGAAACTGAACAGAATACAGTGCTCAAATACCAGTGAAGGATGGTTGCTGTTGAGATAGCCAATCTGCTGGCTCTCTTTAGGAGCACAGTAGCGTATGGTCTTTGTGAGACTGGAAAGAACAGAATGACCGCTTGTGCTTTGGAGAGGCTCGTCCTAAAATCAGGCATGCAGAAAGTCTGTACTGAAGAATTTAGGGGTGGCTTTCTTCAGCTGCTACGTGTTGGTGAGCAGAAGATGACTGTAGGCAGGCTGGATGTAACACCTTGCTTCAAGTATTCCCATCTTTCTATAGCCATTCTAAGGCTGGCAGGTTTGGAAAGATAACAATTTTCCTTGTACTGGAGAAACCAGTGTTCAATGCTCATGTTTGAATAGCAATAGAAGCAATTAGAT